CGGCGCCGTCTTTCCGCAGGACGCGCGGGCCTTCGCTCCGCGGCTGGGCCCGCCGAAGCTGGCGCCCATCGAGGCGCTGGAGCTCTTTGCGGAGAACCGGCGGAAGGGGACCATCAGGAGCCGGGCGGATCCGCGCAATTCGCAACTCGCGTAATCTCGGGGGCGGGCAGCTGAGTTTGATTGAGTTTGGGTGTTTTTGTTGGTGGAACTTGCTCAAGTTGAACCAAGAAGCAGCTGCGTGCAATGCTTGTGCTTCTTGTTGGGGGGGATTTTTTTCCTCTTCCCCGCAAATCAGTCTATTCTTTGCAAGGAGCAAGCGGGGCAAGCGGCGAATGGGGGCCCCAAAAGGAAGCTCGCTGTTCTGGCCTAAAAGTTGGGGATGGTTTAAACCACGGGGGAATTGTGGACTGCGGGACCTTGAGCCTCAAGGCTTATTGGGCTGTTTCTTTTTGGAGTTGGTTGGTACCCTGACTTTGTTTGTGTGGTTTGAAAGAGAAGCCCAGAGGGGAGAACTACTTCTTCTTTTTCTTTGTTTTTGGGGGAAGAAGGGGGGGTTTTGGAGTTGGTGCCCGTTGTTTTGGTGATAAAGGGATGTTCAAAAGGAAGGCCACCCCTGTTTTTGGGAGGGTCCCCTAAAAACAGACACACCCGACTCTTCTAGAAATGGCGGGCTTTCTTTGTGGCTCCCTTTCTTACCAACCAGAAAGCCCCCCCCCCCCCCGCCGGAGAAAAAACAACATGTAATATCTCACTAAGAGTGTACGTGCAGTTTTACCCTTAGTTGGCGGTTTGGATTGCTGGTTTTGGGATTTGAACCCCAGCTCCTTTCTGAAGCCAAATGTGGAAGGTCCCCCTGCACGCCCAAAGCACCAAAAACCACCAATGAAAGGGACAGCTGATAAGTGTTTGCATAGAGTCCACACCGCTCAGGTGGGGAGAGGGAAGCGGGTTTAGACTGCGCGTGGGTGTATATCTTTTGTGCTTCCACCCGGGAAGTGGTCCAACAAGGTCTTGGCTAGCAGCGATCTTGTAAAAACGGTCTCCAAGTTTAGGACACCACAACTCTAAATACAAACCATGGAAAAGAGTTGCGAGAACGAGCCATGGTTCTGGAGGTCCCAAAATGGGAAAGTAGACATCAAACGTGTGGAACACCCAGGATTGGTGTTTCTTTTGACAGGACGTGGATCGACCTTTTCCCGAGCGGCGAGCTGATACCTGAGCTCCAGTTTGCGGACAAGAATCCCCACCAGTTTGAGATACGCATCAAGGTGATCCAGGTGGATGGGATCTCCGTCTTCAAGGACTTCGGGGAACGGAATGACGTCTACCTCCACGGGGAGCTCCACCTGAAGTGCGTGGGCAAGCAAGAGCAGACCCTTGTGGAGGACACGGACGTTCACAAATACGCCCGGCGCTTCGCATCCTTCAACGAGTGCTGGAGCTTTACGGTGCACGCGCCAACCCAATTCTGCACACTGAGCTTGGAACTCAGAGACGATGACACTGTCAGCGGGAGTGATCCTCTCTACGCGCGGAAGCATTTGGCCCTCGAGCCCGTGGTCTTTGGAGCGTATGCCAACTACTTGCAGGGCTTGCCATCTGCAGGTACCTTGAAGCACGAAGTGATCTTTGACTCTTACCCCAACGGACAGGTCAAGTCCTGGACAAGGTGCTTCTGCTGTCGGAGGTTCAAGGCGGGACCGTTTCAGCGCTACATGGGGTGCTGACTTGGCGAAACTCAGCTCTCGCTCCAAAAGCATGGGCATGGACCCGGAATGTTGCAGCCCCGAATCAAAATCAACCAGGAATTGAAGATGAGTAGCCTTTTGTCAACTGGGTGTCTTTCATGTGCACCCTGGGTGGCGGCATGCGTTTCCGAAGCCAAGAGAGACAATCGGGGCCCCACGCCACCCAAACCAGCCCAAGACTTGCGCAGCCACGCCCTGAAGCAGCCCAAAGGCTAGTGCAAAAACTTGGCCGCACCCCTCGTGCAAATCTGCTCCAAGCCAACCCAAACCGACTCAAAGTCAACCTTAAACCCTCCCAGCAGCATCCGGATAGCAGCCCTTTTCAAAGCCCAAAAGAACCCCAAACAAGCCCAAGACCCGCCCTCATTATATAAGACCTCAGCAAGCCCAACACTCACCCGAAACCAGCCCGGAGCAGCTCTGAACTACAGCCAATTGGCAGCCCTAGTCCGAGTGATGCTGGGGTGATGCTGGGGATGCGGCTCACCGACCCCCAACCTAGCGAACCAGACCACCTGTTGCCTTTAACCTGAGAGCGAAGCAAGGGTCCCAGCCAACCAGTTCAGAGCCACCTGGGGGGCAGCTTGTGCTGTGTCGGGGCTAGCAAAAAGCCGGGGGTAGCTAGAAAAAAGCAAAAACAACACACTCAACCACATATGTTTGGTGGTACATGCCCTTAAAACCCATACCTGAAAATGCCCAAGACAGAACCCGTTGCACGTCCATAAAAGGAGACCCCCTTATGAACCAGAGACCAAGAATGGAAACCATGCGTTTCCCATAAATGAGTTCTGAGGCTGTTTTACAACTAGAATATGGTTGCGGAAGATCGGCCGGGTCCTGTCTGCGATACCAAGGTGGCTGATTCCCATGACTTTATCATTTCCATGCTATTATAGAAGTTGATCTTAAATTGTAATTCTGCACAATACTGCGACCGCACCCCAAACATGTGTACAAATGTCCCCCAAATCAGGAGTGAGCTCCCCTCCCCAAATAACGAGTGACTCAGGGGTTTCTGAAGGCAGCAGGGTGGCCAAACCAAGGCCTTGCTTACGCACTGTTTAAGCAAACTTCTTTATATAGATCTCCCTTCAACCGGGATCAGGGGGTGGTTGTTGTTTCAGCACATGTTCCAAGCCCAACCCAGCGGATGAGGCAGTGGCAACCCTAATGAGGACTTAAAGTGGTATACAACCTCCACACCTCATACCTGACCATGCCCTCATTTTGGGGTCGGTAAACAAAAACACACACACACACACACACACACACACACACACACACACACACACACACACACACACACACACACACACACACACACACACACACACAACCCACAACACACACACACACACACACACACACACACACACACACACACACACACACACACACACACACACACACACACACACACCACACCACACACACCACACACACACACACACACACACACACACACACACACACACACACACACACACACACACACACACACACACACACACACACACACACACACACACACACACACACACACACACACACACACACACACACACACACACACACACCACACACACACACACACACACACACACACACACACACACACACACACACACACACACACACACACACACACACACACACACACACACACACACACACACACACACACACACACACACACACACACACACACACACACACACCACACACACACACACACACACACACACACACACACACACACACACACACACACACACACACACACACACACACACACACACACACACACACACACACACACACACACACACACACACACACACACACACCCACACACACACACACACACACACTCGCCACACGGAAACACACACACACACACACACACACACACACACACACACACACACACACACACACACACACACACACACACACACACACACACACACACACACACACACACACACACACACACACACACACACTCACACACACACACACACAACACACACACACACACACACACACACACACACACACACACACACACACACACACACACACACACACACACACACACACACACACACACACACACACACACACACACACACACACACACACACACACACACACACACCACAACACACACACACACACACACACACACACACACACACACACACACACACACACACACACACACACACACACACACACACACACACACACACACACACACACACACACACACACACACACACACACACACACACACACACACACAAAAAAAAAGCCACACGGAAAGAACGCGCGATTTTGGACCCCTGGTTCCACTTCTGTCCACTGAAGCCGGATGCCGCGGTTCCGCCGTCCGCAGGCCAAGCCGGCGCCGGCCACCCTGTCGCTGGAGATCTGCGTGCTGAGCCGCCGGGAGGCGGAGGAGCGGCCGATGGAGCGGCAGTTTGCGGAGCCCAAGGGCCGCATCACCACGGCCACGATGATTTTCCAGCCCGGGGAGTTTTTGGGCATCGCCTTTTGGTGTAGGTTGGTGGGGGGGGTTGAGGGCCCAGCGTCCCCTGGTTTCGGTTGGTGGCGCCTGGGGTTAGGTTGGTGGGAGGGGAGTTGAGGGGTTTGAGGGGGTTGAGGGCCAAGCGCCGCCCGGCCAATCCTTTTTTTTCATGACCAAGCAAAAGCAGTTGAGGGACTTGGAGGGGACAGGGTGGATCGTTTGGAAGAGAATTGGAGGAATGCCAAGGGGATCCAGGACCCCTGTTTTGATCTTTCGTGGGAAAGTCGTGTTGCGTTGAAGGACTTTAGGGGTATTTTCCAAACCCAGGTGCCGAACAAATCAACATCCTCCTTCGGGGTTTACAGAAAGGCTTATCATTCCTAGGGACCAGGAGCCAGAGATGTTTGAGGTTTGGGAGAAGTCACCCCGAGAAAGTTGCTGGTGGGAACGAGTAACATCATTCCGAAGGGAGACTCCTTTGGGGGACCCCGTTTTGGGTTCCAACTGGTCTTCTTTTTCTGTTGGCTTCCCTTTCAAGTTCAAAAAGAGATACCAACTCCAAAAAAGTCGAGCCACACAATTACAAACGGGTTGTTGCTTGGAAGACAAGAGAGCCTGTTCAGTTCAGCGGCATGGTAGGAAATGGCCCTTCCGCGTTTTGGGAATGAACCGTTTGGGGACTCCCTCAAATTTTTGGTTCCCTGTTAATCTGAAGCGTAAAGCTTATCGCCCCTTGGTCAGAGCAATTGTGCTCAAGGACAGCTTAGCGTTGGTTTCCTGCTGGAGCCACCATTTGCAAGGACATCGCCCCAATATTTTAAGGAACCCTGATGTGGGTCCTTCTATTCCCTCCTCTGGGGCTGACATTGGGCCAAATGGTGAAGCTTGGTGCTTTCCAAGCCAAACGGGATGCTGTGCTCGTAGCCGAACCAATCAAAGGCGTGTTCAGTTTTATTCGCAAGAGGGGGAGCAAAGGTCACCCAGGCAAGACAAATCCATGATTTTCAGCGCGCAAGGGCTTCCTCGGGCTCTGATTTTCTTTCCCCAATAGCAAGCCATAGAAAATCCTGGGGAGCCATGGAGGTGAACTACCTTATCTGCTGTAGTGGGAACCGGAAGCACTGCTTTTTTTGAGAGAGGTTCAAAGATCACTTTCTGCTTGCCATTGCGCACGACTTCCCTGTTGGAGAAGTGAAACCCTCTGTGCAAACATCCGACGTTCGAGGACCTTTCAACTTGTTCTTGGTGGGAGCCCCCCACTATTGTTCCCATGTTTGTTTTTTCTTTTTTCTTTTTTTGCGTGGCCCGATTTGTCGTTGTGTTTTTTGAGTCCCGAGTTCCTTTTTGGTTGGCCTCCTTTTGTTGGGCTCTCGTGTTTCACCTTCATTATTTGGACCACGTCCTGAGGTCCTCGGGCCCAGCAACGTGGCTCGCCTAAGGCGCTGCTGCTGTATCAGTGCTATTACTCTTGTTTTGCTGGTGGGACTTGCTATCGCGTACCTGATCATTCAGGGCTTTGTCGTTCCCTTGAAATGAGCGGTCAAGAAAAATGTCAGTCAAACATGTGACGCTGAAATCACTCAGCAATTTGCCACAAGGAAATTGTTGTCCAATGACGTTAGGGTAGACAATGAGTATTGACGGCTCAAAACAAGTCTTCGAAGAAGACGCCTTATCGATGAAGGTCATTGGCCCGATTGGGGCGAATGGCTTCCAAGGGCCTTTCGGATGGCCCTTTTGTTTTTGGCCCCTTAGCGAGTGCGGCGTACAAAGAGACGCCTTCGAGTCTCAGACCTGGCAAAGAGACAGGACCGGAGATCGCTTTAGACAAAATCCAGGCGCTGAGGGCTGAAAAAAGCCGCAAAGTTGCTATTGCCCCCGAGTCCCAAGCAATTTGGGTCCAGCTCTATCGTTCCGAGGAATTAATGAACACCCCCTATCAACAAACCCCTGTTTATTAATGTGCTGGGGTTAATAAATAGGGGGTCAACATTACACTTCAGACGAACATGGAAGCTAGAAGGCCTCTGTAAATGAACCAAGTCTTCCATTGCGGGGTCCTGGGAGCTTCCATGTTCGGGGGAGGGTAATGCCTTGCTGAACGCAAATTGAATGTTGGGCACACTCAGACTAGAGCCAGGTCCATTGGTGTTTGACTTTTGGACACATGATGTGAGACCCCCAACCTCATGCACGTGAATTGTTTAAAGCAGGTATGTTGGAGCAATTCCTTGCACAGGTAAAGGCTGCACTGGAACCACGTGGTGCAATCTTTTTGATCGATGGTCGAAAGGCCAACTGAGCAAACACCCATGCTTCATTTGTTTTGGAATTGAAAGTTGCTTTCTGTTCAGGTCCCAAACACATGCCGAAAACTACGCGCCACGGAAACTCGAGCTCTTCCGGCGCCCGCCATTGTCAGAGAGAGCGCATGCGTTGCAGTGAGGTACCGAGTCGGCCAATAGCTTCAGCATCTTGGGCTCCAAGCGAAACTCAGCGATATGCGATACGACTCCGAGTTTTTTTGTTTGAAGAGCCGTCAGAGTGTCAAAAGCATTTCTTGCGTTTCACTTTAGCGAAGTCACCGTTTTGAACAGCCCATTGCGGTAACCAGCGGTCCGATGCGTGGGATGACATGAAGTACTCCCAGCGCAAGCGTGGGGGACTTGGGGGCGCCTGGTGCTTGCCTGCTGCAAACGTGCCTAGCGATGCAAATTGCCCAGCTTCCATGGGAAGCCCGGCTTCCTGCTGCCAGACAGTAGCGCATGTTTGCCCATGGTCGAGACCTTTTTCGGCCAATCCATCAGTGATCGGCTGTTGAGAGCTTCGAACCAATCGTGTTTCAAGACAAACAGCCGGAAACAAGCCTTGTAAGTTCATGCGTTGGTTCATGGGTATGTGTTGTACTTCAAGTGTTCATCCATGTTTAGTTGCAGCACTGACATGTTGCTAGCAGACCCTGTAAGTTGGGCATCTTGATCGTTAGGGTTGCTGTCCCCTCGAGCATCCTTGGTAGTGCATGCTGTTGGCTCTCCACACAAGTCTGCCATGAAACCATCCAACCTGGAGTCAGGCTTGCCACCTGAACATGTTGCAAACAATATCATCCTTCCCCCTGGTTGTGGTTGAATGTAAACTGTAAACAACTGGAAACAAACAGCTACAATGTGGGGCCTCTTCCAGAGGAAGAATGGACGAGTCGATCATTCGTGCTGGAACAAAGGGCTGTTGCCTGACTACATTTCCCTTGCTGGGTGGTTAAAGCAGCATTCGTGCGGCCATGCGTATTGATATTTTGTTGGCTGAGGTGATGTTTAAGGGGGAACACACAAGAAACCTGGCTCGTGTCCTTTGAAGCCAGACATAAATGAAAACCAGGTGGAGCCTCCAAAATAATTGTTGCTGTGCTTTTGTTGGGTTCCTGCCATGGGGAAGAGGGGGTTTTGGCACGGTTTTGCTGAAATCGGCGACTTCTTTGATTTCCCTTGAAAGGGCCGCAAAAGACGGGCCCTGACTTCAATCCATCTAGCACTTCCATGGTCCCTCTCCCAAATCAGGTGAAGGAGCCACAAAGTCCCCCTTCCCGCCCCTTGGTAGACACAACACGACATCCTCAGCGATGGAGCGATCCGTGCAACCAACTCTCGAGGCAGCCCGCAGCGCACGCAGCAGGTCCTTCGAGGCGCGCTTTTGGGCGGCTGGTCAGGGCAGCATGAAATGGCTGCAGTTCAAAAAGATGTACCAAAATGGCACTTTGGTAATGAAACCCAAGACTAAAACATGCTTCCCTAAAACATGCTTCGCTCTAGCTCTTCAATTTAGAGCCACGCCCAAATGCCAAGACGAGTCGAAGGCCGTGCTGAGGCTAAGATGAGGCATTCGTTTTTGGAACATTGCCCGAATGGGTTGTTGGGGCTTTCGTCCGTGAGCGTTGCTCGTGTTGTTCAAGTGACCGTCCGGATGTGATATGGCCCTCAAAATGGTTTTATTTTTTCTTGGGTTTCCCTTGAAAACAGCCCCGAGATGGAGTACGAGAGCTATCTTTTGCTACGAATTTGGACGGTTCGATCATTTGGTTCGGCAGGCGAACAAATCTAACGGAAGACTTTTCCAGGATCCCCACGCAAAGAAGCAAGTCAGACGCATTTGACCCACTTTCTCATGGGCACAGATGAAGCTCTTACCACAGATTTCGATGTGGGTTTGTCTCAAAATAGGGAGAGCTGTTTGCCTTTAGACCACCCGAAAAAGGGTACCAGGATAAAAAGACATACCCATGCCCCATTTGGGGGAACTGTCCTACGGGTGCTGGTGACAGTTTGGGTTCCATGTATAGCAAGTTTGGTCTTCAATTCGTGGAACTTGGGTTTCCTGCTAACACAGCCCCAAAGAGTTTTAAGAATGGGGTCAAATGAGGTTGGTCGAAAGCTCAATGGTCTATGGTCAATTTAGGGAGCTGTTGGACCAGCCAATTTTAGGTTTCAACCAGAAGCTCTGTGGGGCTCATTCATTTGCCCGCATCCTGAATGTTCAACTGTAGCAAACAAATACAAGATGTGGTGTGGAAAGCACTAGTCCAAGTAGGGTTCTCGTTTTTTTGAACTCCAGACACCTTGTAGCATTGAGAACATGTTGTGGTCTCAGTACTATTTTCGGGCTGGGCTGGCGAAGTGGTAGTGTTCCAATTCGGGCCAGGATGCTAGCAGCACGCATTTTCTGTTTTGCTGTCCATTTGGGCAAGCCTGGCTGTCTGAGGCACAAATCCCGAAGATGAGGTGCCGACAGTCTTCTTCGACCTGTCCGAAGGGGCGCGCGCCCCAGTAAGGCCACAGAACACCTAGCTGTTCGGGCTCCAAGGTCGTTGGCCAAGAGAAGGGCTCATAGGCGGATTCCGCCTGTTTTAAGTGGTGGACGGGAATCCAAGAGAAACCAAGGCAGATGGATCAATAGAGGTTGTCGGAATGTGTCTGTGAAACGGCAAAGCTTTGCTTGTGGCTTTTGTTCTTCGTTCTGTTGGCTGAGAGGCACTACATCCCAAACTAGTAGCGCCATTTACAGAGCTGATTCAGCTCAACACTCACACAATGTGAAGCATCCAGCCAGGCCTGTTTCAATGCCTTTTGAGGGGGCAGGCAATCTTGACTCATAGCCAAATGTTATGAATTCATTGATGTTTGGCCTTCGCACATGTGGTGCGGTGTCTTTGGGATATTTCCCCACGCTCTTTGGCTCTTTTGCACTCGAGCTGTTTCAGACAAAGAAAGCGGCACCTAGCAAACATACACACATTCACAACCACACAGGCAACACACACAGAGACACACAAACACTGCTTTAAAACACCCTGAAATGACCACACACCATGACGACCCAGAGGTGGCAATGAACTGTGAACACCAATACTCTCCCTCCCACTAACATGGCAACTGACACATGGTACCCCCAAGAGGAAGATCATCTTCCAACCCTCCCACGAGTGCCTGCTTTTTGTTGGAAGGAGGGTATCCCAACCAATTTCTAGACCACCCTACCTTGCTTGCTGGTGCCCAGGGAATGAGGGAATGATCCCTCTAAACCATCTCACCGGTGGCTTCTTTTCAGGGGACGAACGCAAGCCCGGGTCCATTCCGTTTCTCATTCCCCACCTATCGCCACCAAGTTTTTTGGGCCCCCCCGGGTGTCTCAACGAGCCTCGCCGATTTTTGTTTCCCGGCGCCGAAGCGGTCTTTTTCGTCTCAGGATGGCCGAGAGCTTCCGGGCACCTCCAACGCAGTGCCCGGGAGACCCAGAAATCGCCCGAATTGCCGGGAGCCGGGCGTTCCTTAGCTTAGGGGAACGAACCCCCCCCCCCCCGCCCCCACTCCTTGCCTCCCCGTCCCTCAAAAGGACGGAAAGAAGAGTATGTGGTTTTCCCGTTGGTTTCCCTTGAAAACCACAAAGAGGGGTATAAAAGAACTAGTATATGGTTTTTCTGTTGGTTTCCCAGAACAAAACACAAAGAGGGGTAGCCTTAAAAGTGACACATCCATTTATCGACGGGTGGATTTCTCCCGACAAATCCGTGGATCTTTTCCGGTGGAAGAGGTTAAACGTCGGCAGAATTAATTCATCAAAGCTCAACATCTTGTGCTTCCCCAGTTTCAGTGAGTGAGATTGAGATTCTCCTCGCATGGTGCTTCCCCCTTTTCAAAGTAGGCCAAAGTTTGGCCCATTTCGAGACGTCTCTCCAAATGGGAGACCTTGCCAAGGGTTCTGCTTGGACCCGGGCAGGGAAGCGTGCAGAAGCTTTATTCCGCGGCATTTGAGAGAAGACCCCCCCCCCAATTCCACCCATTCCATTTGCTGAAGTTGTTTCTGGATTTCTCTTGTTGGCTTTTGAGCCGCTCGCATGAGGCGAGTGACTTCTTGTAGTCCAGAACAAAAGAAAACTAGTACGTCGAAAAGACGCCTGCAAGAAGGGTTCCATGGTTTTATTTGGGGCTCCCTTTAAGAAAAGAATCGCATCCTTGGTGGGGTGTTGACTGTTGAAGCACCTTTTGGTTGGAGATGGAGTCTGTGGCAAAACGAAAGGGAAACCAAGGGAAAACCGTCGAACCCAACTATGGGCCAAATACTCCTGTTGACCGAAGAAAGTGGCCTTTCGGGGCTGCAGGAAGGTACCCGCAAGCCCTCAGGAAGGTACACCGAGGGAAGCTTCCGCTCGTCATCAACTTCTGCTTCGGCGACAGCAAGATGATCATGCTGGCGAGTGCAGAGGGGAAATGCGCAGATCTTGAAGATCCTGAGTGTCTCAGTGGTGTCATGCTCAAGTGCAGGTGTGTAAAGTCATCAAGCCATGCTCAATATCAGAAATGTTGGGAAGTTGGGAATTCTCTTTGCACTATTCACATTGTGTCTTCACATGATTGACAGGTTGTGCTTCTCGGATGGTTTATGTGAACTTGTCTTTTGCTGCGTTGGGCCGAATGTCTTCCCGCAGTTCGTCCATCAAAACCTTTGGTTAGTTTGGCTGGTTCTTCCTCATATTTTCTTGATTGGGGTTTGCTTGTGCCATACTCCGATATGCAGGAACACATGCTTGCGAATCATGAATTGGAACATAGAGTTGTTGATCTCGCATTATTTTCTTCCAATCCACAACGCGCAAATTCACTGCGTATCAGGCTATTGCTCAATCACCTCCCGATCTCAAACCAGTGTAGGTAGCAAGCGCAGATTCGGCCACGTGTGCGGCCATCCTGTTCATCCTGTTTGCCTTGTGTCAGATCCGTGCTGCCAGTATGTACAATCCCGGAGGGTTTCGGAGCTTCTCCAACTATTTGGATGAACAATTCGACATGCATCAAAGTGGATGGGTGCCCTCCACTCTTCATGCTGGCCGGCACACAGGAGCTGGAGTTGCGGCATCTGTGCATGCATGGCGGAAATCTGACGGGTTGTTGAACCTGGACCAGGAAAACGCTAAGATTGAGTTTGCTCGGGCCAAAGAGCAGTGGGACAGGGGTTGACAGCAACAAGTTCGGCAAGACGAAGGATGTACGACCACAATTAGGTGTCCTTTTTGGTTGTGTTGCTAGACAAGTAGATGGCCCTGGTTTGCCTGGTGGCTTAGTCATCTACCAGGGAAATCCATCTATTTCCCCTAAAAGGACAGCTATGTGTATGACTCATATCCCGAGCTTGGCGTTACGTTGTCTGCAAGGTTTGCTCAGTTCCAAGCTCCAAGCGACATGACGTGGCCCGAAAAATGCCCGTGGGGGAAAACACACAACATGAGCCAGCATGACAAGGTATGGTACTGTGGATGGTTGCGAAATCCAGAAATCACACCACCTAAGCAACCCTGGTTTCTGATGATTCCCCTGGTTTCCAATACTTTCAAAGTGGTGCAGGATTTCGTCCATCCACAGTATGATGCTGGAGTGATTATGTGACATGCACAAAGTCATATTTGCCGACATATGAACTTACACAGCCAGTGAAGATGCGTGAGCCAAAATGCTGTGATACTGTTCATAGATATTGATGTCATTAATATGCATATTGATATTCAATGCCGAGCCTATTTACTCTCAACATCTACAGATTTAGAGATATGTCTGAGCATACTGGAGTGGCAGTTCCCCGGAGTCCAGGGATATCTAGCCGTTTGGGATAGTCATTGCTCACATCTTGCATTCCCGTGGTGCAGGAAAGGCTTCGCATTTCGTGGATGCCTCTACAAACATACTGGCAAGGCGACGCAAAAATGACACTTAGTCCCGAAGGAGCACCTACTTAGCCATGTTAACAAAATGAGATTTCTTGAGGGATGTACAAACGGAACAAAACATGGCCACTCAGTTTGCTGGGGAACACCCTGACAAATGGTTGGTGGACCTAAAGCCCAACAACATGAAGTTCATCAAAGGGATATGAGCAATATCAACCCCGGATGAATAAACCCATCCCCATTAATAGGCCAGATACTACGTGGATTGTGTGAACCTACACGGCAGGCATTCTAAGAGTCACGAGGTTGGTGGACAAATGAAGGTTCCCCAGGTGAAATTCACGCCGTGGCAAGTAGGTTATAGCCATAAGTCAGCCCACGCTAACAACGGAGCCTCCCCTCCCCTCCCCTCAAGTCTTTCCATCTCGCCGAAGGCCCCTGAGCCTATCGGCGCCCAGTGTGGTGGAACACTACGGCGCGAGGGGGAGTGGGGAGCGGGGTGGTCAGTGTGTACGTGTGCGCGTATGCGTTTGTGGAAGGGTATGCGTATGTATATGTGAACATATGTACGGATATATATATATATATCTTTATCTTTATGTTTTTTTTTGGAAGAGTAATACATGTCGCACTCACAGATGTTGCCCTGAGGACGAGGTTTCTCTTGGCACTTGGCTTAATGCCTTGTGGCACCAGCTCTCCAATGTTTTCGGACTCGTGCCAACTACAACCATAGGTATCCTTTTTTAGGTCAGCTTGGTTAGACACAGATGGCACTGATTTAGACGATTTTATTCCATTTACCAGGGCCATCTGTTATACCAGAAGGACACCTATGACTACCACAGCATGTTGAGTTTCTCAAAGAAGCCAGATTAAATACCCGAATGCCTTGTTGTGAAAGGTCACTGGTTTCTAAGCGAAGAGGTTCGGACTTCCTCGAGCCGCTGCTCTGCCTGTGTGGGATGAACTTGCGGGCTTCGACTTGAGTGCGGAGGAAGTGCACTGGATGCGCATTATCATGTTCTGCTGAACTCAGGAGGACGCCCGCAGGCATCTTGACCATGCCAGGCGCTTCTCGTATTTGTACAATTTGAGCCCGGGTCCCCTTGGACCTACATGTGCCAAGCACTGCCTGTAGACTTGTTGGTCCCGCGAAGGTAGAGATGCAACACTTGGGTTTGTCTTGTTTTCGGGGACCCCGAAATGGAGGGGGTCCCTTTTGGTTTTCCTTTACAGCCACAAAACGGGGTGCTCTCATGAAAGAATGGGGTGGATACAACCATTCCTTCAAGTGGGCGTTCAACCCTAGGGTTGAACCTCTTTTTTCTTGATTGGACCTTTTTTTCCTGAAAGGCAGTTCTACTTTTTCTGAGCGGGGTTCCCATGGGACTCGAGGCGCGCTGCTGCAGCGGGAGGAGCGGTCTCGCGAGCGGGTGGAGGACGGGAGTCTCGATCGATTGCTGCGGGTGCCGCGAGGTGCGGGGACCAAACTAGCGTCTTCCTGGCCGGTTCCGGTAGCAGTGGAACAACACGAGAGCATCATTTTTTTTTAAAGGAACGACTGTCTCATTCGAAGGTGATGCCATGCTATTTGGGCGAGAGATGTTCAAATGGAAGCCCCACCAGTGCTTGAACCCGTGTAAAATGGTTGGCACTTGCACCTATCAGTCAAATGGATTTCCAAGGCAAGGGCAGCTTTGTTTCAAAAGTGGTCCGGAGATGCTACCTGCTGTTTTTTCAAACACTGGCCGCACCTAAAAGCAGACGATTTGCTGCTTCATGTTTGCGTGGGTCGTTCATTCGCTGGTGACCTGGTGGATACGTGAACATCTGTCCTACAGAGCCGTACCTCTTGTTGATGGCGGACATATAGCGCTTTTCTGCAGGTGTCTGATGATTAGAGCTTGGAGTGCTGGGTTGTTGCTCACTTCTCCTATACCATTGAAATTTTGTTCTGATTGGGAAGTTGCGGCTAGCAAGCCCTTCCGGTCCCAGTAGAGCCAGCGAAGCCGGTTGGCGGAAGTTTCAGACATGGTTCTCTTCTATGTCCTTCTTTCTTTCTCCTTGTCTTTTTTCTTTTTCTCATTCCCTCTTTGTTTTTTTCCTTTATTTTTCATTTTGTTTTGCTTTCTCTCTCTTCCTTCTCTTCGTCATCTGTCTTTCTTTCTTTCTTTCTTTCTTTCTTTCTTTCTTTCTTTGTTTCTTTGTTTCTTTGTTTGTTTGTTTGTTTGTTTGTTTGTTTGTTTGTTTGTTTGTTTTTGTTTCTTTCTGTCTTCCTTGCCTAATTTATGTATCCATCTATGTACATACCTATCTATCTCTACCAATCTCTTTCTATTTCTTTCTATCTCTCACTCTCTCTCTATGCATCTTTCACTCTATCTATCTCCATCTATATCTATCTATTTGTATCTATGTGGATCTATCTCCATCGACCTCTATCTCTATTGCATCTCCATCTATCTGTTTGTCTGTCTATGTATCTATTTGTCTATCTATTTGTATTCCGGGATTTCGAGGGAAGCTGATCTCCGCCAAAGCATCCACGGAGTTTTTGTTGTCCAACCCAGGGCCGCCATCCTGGGTTGTGGGATAACTCGGGGTTCATCCAATCACTTCTGTGATACTTTTGGGAATCCCTTCTTTATCTGGGGGGTTGCACGTCTTTGGGAAGCCCTTTTTGTCGGTGCTCACGGAATAAGGGAATGCCCCCAAGCCCCAATTCAAGCATCCCCGATTTGGTTTCCTCTCTGGGAATCCCCAGGTTCATTCCCTCATTCCCTGCCTGTCGCACCAGCAAGAAAACCGTATGGCACCTCTTGACAAACCCATCCCCTTGATTTCGATTTTGCTTTTTTTCCCTGCAACCCAACCCCTTGATTTTGGTTTTCCATCCAAAACTCATTCGCCACCAGTTGTCCAAGCACCCCAACATGTTGAGGAGAAGCTGCGCCTGGCTGAGGAGCGGATCCGCGGCCGGGGCCCGATTTCTCCGACCTCAAAACCGGCCGGTCGGTGCTTGTGTGTGTGCGGGTTGGTGGTGGGGTCAGTTCCTTTTTTTGGTCCTAGGTCCTTTTTTTTTTGCTTAGTGTGGTTGGTTTTGGTTTTGCTGTCTGCTTTGGTTCTTCTTTTGTGGTTTGTATTATATCCGGTTCTGGCTTCTTGTTCCTTTTGGTTTCCGATACGCTCCCGCGGCTTCATGCTTTTGGGTTCCTCTGGGTGAGCTGTCAAAGACAGTTCCCTCTGTGGTAGTCAGGTGGGTCTTAAAATTAGGGGACCCCCCTCAGAAGAAGAACAGGTGGTTTGCCTTTTGGGGTTCCTTCCAAACCACAAAAATAGAAGTATCCTCAAAAACAGATACACCGAGTTCCCTTTTTGAGCCGGTGCGTTCTGCGGCGCCTTGGACAGTGTGTGAATCCGCAATCTGGATTGAACCGCAACCCCGCCTCGGATTGAACCCCGGCTCAGTGGTTCATAAGTCCAGCATGCAGTGCGCAGTGTGGGTGTGCAGGGAGAGTTAGAGGCCATCACGTTCAATTCCGAAAACTCATGGGAAATGGATGGCAAACAGACAGAATCGCTTATGTTGGAATCCCACCCTCTTTCCAACAATCATGGAAGCTGACAGGAAGGTGTGGAAGTCCACTTTGCTTTTCCCTTGAGCGCGTGTTCACCTTGCAGCGCTCCATGCGTTGTCCCTAGTTCTGACACGCATGCATATGGTGACCAAGAAGCACGTAGCCAAGATGTTAGAGCGATCATCCACAGTTGTGTGAACCCTCACAGAAAGGGTCCAATGTCTACACGCTTTTGGGACGTGATAGTGCGGCGCTACTGTGGATGGACGAAATACGAAATCCTGCACCACCAAAGAAGCCCTGGGATGATGATTCCCCTGTAAATACCCGTAAAAAATGGTTTCAACCATGGTTTCCAAGTGGTGCGAAATGGATTTCGCAACCATCCACAGTATGTCTTGTCGTTGTTGAGTTTTGGGATGACTGAAACCGTTGAGGGGCGCAAGACTCGGGCCCGGCGCAAGACTCGGAGCATCCGCGCTCAAAAGTGAACGCTCGGAGGCATGGAGGATGACGCGAAGAAGAGGGAGCTGCAGTTCGAGCAGGACATCGTTTCCTCGGGAGAGCCACTTGCTCAAAACCGATTCGGGTAGATGATCCGGTTAGTAAGGGATACTCCCAGCCAGAAATAGCTGCGGATATCCGCCTTCTTAATTCTTGAAACTTGGTTCTGGGTTCACCATTTTGATACCGGGTTTTGATTGTGACTCAGGTTTCCCCTAGGGTACATTCGGTGCTACTCCCAGTCTTTTTCGCAAGCGTCTTAGCAGTTGGCTGGAGGAGAGGGGGTGGGGGGGCGAATTGTCGGGCTGTTCAAAACACAAAGGCAAACCAACGTCCACCCAGGAGGCGCTAGACTTTTGAGAACAACTCTGACATGCCCCCATGTCAAGCAGAATACTTACGTGTTCCTGAACAAAAAACCCTTCTACCTCGTAAGTTCCTACCTCAGTCACAGAGTCACAGGTCGCCCGTAGTTAAAGGGAATAAATGGGGCGTGTAGTGAAGCAGCCATTCTTGACATGGTGCGCTTGAGAGAGCTTGGCCCCCGAAGAACGCCGTTGACCTGCAAAAGAGATGCAAAAGTCGCTCGGCGTATGCCCATGGTTGAGCCATTTCTTCAAAAGCTTGGGAAAGTGAAACTTGGTCAGTCCCAACAACAATTTTATAGGTCCAGCAAGAAGCCGCTGTGATTCTTTATCATGACTTAGTCGTCGTCGTCGTCGTCGTCGCCGCGTACACTAGCAAACCACATATCCATACGGCTGTGGTTGTCAAAACCAATGGGATCTCATTTTGGGGATTGGGTGCACTCCACCCATTTTAGAACCTACTTTAGTGGTTGGATTGAATCTGATGTTCACTGGGGGCTAACCGATTTGGCCTTTGACCCACATATCCATCTCGCCCTGTCGTACACCTGAAAGCGGGAGCTCACGGCCAGGAGAAGCGGGAGCTCATGGACATGATCGTCGAGAAGGACGTAGCGCCCGGGGGCGACCGACTTTGGCGTCGACTTCGGATGGAGTGCTCCCTGGGTGTCAGGGGGATGTTTCTCCCAAAGGATTGATCCGGATCTCCCCTTCAAATTCATGAAGATGTTTGTTGATCCTGAGTTTCCATTCGACTTCGGCTCAAGTAAAGGCGGGGGCCACACCCAATCAGGGCAAGCCCTTTCATATCGACACATTTCTAGGCAACAACAGAGGTAGCTTCAATGGCCGGAACATCCTCCAAACTTCCCCAGAATTAGCTCCCTTGTTTGTTCTTTTGCTTTTGTGGGGTCCCTTTGTTTTCCACTAGCCAGGCAAAAAAGATATAACTTTTGCTGGGATCCCAATTCCAGCCTAGCAAATTTGTGGATATTTTTCCCCATGCTGCTGGCCACCAATGACCACATTGAATATGATTCATTTGTGTTTCTTTCGGTGTGGGTGCGGAAACTGGTGTGATGGGATAGCTCAACCTTCGGAGCTGATTTCGGAGCGGGACTCCATACAAAGAAAGCCGTTGGATGCAAAACAAGCTGGCGCACCCAAAATGAGCATGGCCAACTTTTCCCATGTGGTGAAAGTCATCGTTTTTGGGTGGTTTCCCTAAGGGTCACCCCATTTAAAGGGCCTTGTGAGCAACCTGCATGTGGCCCATGTGGGGTCCTTTTTGGGAGTTTAATGGGAAGCCGACAGAAGCCAGGTTTTTCGGGTTGTGTGGGTCATTTGTTGAACCTTCCAGCTGAGGTGGTACGTAGGGCTTGGTTTTGGCAGGAGGCTTTGTAAGCGGGTGGCGAGGGGGGGGGACACAAATTCCCCCAAAAACCGAAACCCAATTTTCACTTGTCCTCTTGGTGAACAAGTCGTCATGCAAGGCTTTTCCAAGTCGTCAGCAAGGGTTCGCCTATGCCCACCCGAGCAATTGAGCACATGAGGAGATGCGTGTCCTTTGAGGGTGCCTCTCTTTGCTTCGAATGCGAAGCCTTAAGCTGCTCCGGCACTTTGCTTGGTATGCCAAGATTTATCAAGCCCAGGATGATTCACCCACGTCAATCAGTCCGTCCAGATCTGCCCAGCTGCCCTCGAAATTGATTTGGGTGTGTTGATTTGGGTGTGCCTGAGGGAATCGTTTGGTGGTTTTAAAGGACAACCAAAAGGACAACCACCATTCTACCCCTAAAAACGACACACCCATTGCCAGGTTTGTCAAATCATCCCCATCTTGGAGGGACGGGGGTGGGCTCTCACGAAATGTCACTGATTTTCGCATGTCCATTGAGGAAACCGCATATTCGGACCGTGGTTCATGTGAGAGGGTGATGGCAATCCCAGCATTTTTTCTATGTCACCTGGGCTGTGAAGCATCACCTTCTAAGCCGATTTAAAGTTTCCTTTTGATGCCATGATGTTTGAACTGGAAGTATGGGGACCCTGAATCCCCCTAAAAGCGGTACATGGGAGCCATTGGTGGCATGGTTGAGCATGGATGCATCTAATCATTTACCATCTATGTTTACCAAAGGACAGGTATGGGAGCATGGGTGTTCTTTTTGGTTGGTTTGCTTAACAAAAACAGAGGGCCCTGGTTTATTTAGTGGTTCAATCATCTACCAGGCCCATCTATTTCCAAAAAGGACACCTACTGTGGATGGACGAAATCCATTTCGCACCACTTTGAAACCAGTGGACACCATTGTTTGTTGGTATTCACAGGGGACTCGAATCAGAAACCAACATTTCGCAGGTGCGATTTCTGGAGTTCGCGCCAGGAGGAGGTGCTGGCCTACGAGCATGCGCAGCTGGACACGCGGGTGCATGAGGCGCCCTCGATTCGGGGGTTGGGGAAAGACTCGGGGTGGGTCCAGTCTTTTTTTCCTTTTTTTTTAAAGGAAACACAGAAAGGCAGGCCAACTATGAGGGTATTTTGTCAACCACCTTCTTTAGGATACCAGGGTTCCACCTTTGACTACACAAAGATAGACTTAAACCCTTGGGTGAAATCAACCACTACTGGCATTCAGTCTTCCTGGGAATAGCAAGAACTGGAAAGCCTGTAGGATGCTGTCTTTTTTGGGTTGTCTGCAACGTTGGCTCCAAGTGTCGGTGGCACCTACACGGAAACCAGTCTTGTGCAGTGCCCAAAGCAAACAGTTGGCCAGGTGAGTAGAGGCTTTTACTCCCATACCAGCCAACTGAAAGATATGATCTTCCGGGATCCTCGTTAGGTTTGTTAGGAGGTACATTAAAACCTTTCAAACCATCTTGGCAGAAGCTAATGGCTACTCGGTTCATTGCCGATTGGCTCTCACGGGGTCTCTTCAGTTGTGAACACGAGAACAGAACCCGCTTCTTTGAGCCTTGTAGCTGAGAAGCAGGCCGGATTTTATCCAAAAACCCACACCCCGGGAGAAGTGACTGCAAACACCTCGCCGCGGGCTGGCATACATTGAAGTGGATCTCGCATGCAGTTCCGGAGGCCCACAGCTGTTGGGAAAAGGGCGGGGAAAAGGATGGGGGTCCTCAACTTTTTGTTTGAGCTTGCCAAACGTGGCTTGGAATTTTTGGAACCCACCAGGCTGATCAACTTTGGATTCGGAAATCCAGTGCCCGAATTCTTGTGAAGAGGCTGGGCTGCCTTTGCGGCAAATTGTGGTGGCACTTTGTTGACCCCTGGTGAAATGAAGCACCCCCCCCTTGTCTGGATGAGTTTCCTAAAATCAACCCAGGACTTGGTGGTGTTTTTTGTTGTTGTATTGTTATGATTGTTCTTTTTGTTTTGGGTCTGGGGGAACGCTTTTGTGACTGAGAGGAACATGCCTTGCACCAAACGCTCTGGTCTAGCGCAGCGGTTGAGAGCCGCCGGTGTTTCATTGAAGCGGTGGATTGGGTTGGATAAAGCCCAGGGGCTGTTGATTTGGGCAAGTTTGGATTCAAAAGCAGGACCATGCTTGGGGGAGGTTCCCAACCAAAAGGCTGAGCCTTTTGCTCTTGGCCAACACATATTGGGCCACTGGGAGCTTTTGGGGCAGGTGTCCTCAATCATCGAGGCGAGGAGGGTAGGGTTAGACTTTGGAGGAAACCCGACCTCGAAACCAAACCGTTGCTTTGAAGAGCCTTACGAGCAAACCACCACTAGATATCGTGAACGGCGCTTTTGGCGCTTGAAAGAACCTGAAGGACTCGCTCTAAGGAAGAACGGAGCCTGAGGAAAGGGGCCTGGTGGTTCTGGCCAATTGTATGACCATGGATTGATGTTGACTTCGGGAAAACACACACACACGCACACACGAGGAGAGGTTGAGAGCCACCTGGTACAGCATCCGCCGGAGGAATCCATGATTGGCTTGCAGTGTGGCGAAAAAAACTGTTTCTCTGGAATTCTGACCCTGGGTATCACTGGATGTCCGGTGTTTGGATCCTTACACCTTGGATTCATGCGCGTGAGGGTGTAAGATTGGAGACAAATCAGCCGTGACCTTCTGGACCAAGAGGCTAGGCTTGTTGGCCTGCCTCCACTTTGGCTCAGCGAGTAGATGCAGGGCTGGGATCTTTTCAAGTTGCCAGCCAGGGCATGCATGGCCAAAAGTGCCCAGACTTGAAAACCAGTGAACTCTGCCTTAGACGCATTTGACACCGGGAGCACGTCTGCGCGACGGTAACTTGCGCCGAGCGCAAAGGGCCGCGAAGCGACGCTGCACAAGTCAGCAATGGCGCACGCCTTTTGGCTTCTCTTGGCCCCAGGCTGGCCAGTGGGGACGGGCCCCCAGTTGGTTGGAGGCAAATGACGGGCCAGCAATCTTGGATCTAGGATCCAGGGTCTAAATACGGCATTTAGTTACAGGGGGGGGGGGGGGGATTCGGAAAGTTGTGGGTTCAACATCAGCGTCCAAGTGAATCATGGCAACTGCATCAACCAGGCTCCACACAAAGCAGCTGGATGCATACTGAACGCATCGATGCAACTGCGATCACAACCGCCCCAACCACAGTTGCTTCGCGAGGCTGGGTGCGAAACAGCCCGTAGCCAAAAACGGGACGGGCCAAATTCCACTTTCTCCAGACCGCCAGTAGCCACCTTTTCGAGGCTACTTTTTTTTAATGGTTTTGTTTTAAAGGCAAACCAAGAGGAAACCCATCATTTTGGTGGGTCCAACCGAAAAAGGCACAGCCGTGGCATGTTGTGGTTGTTCGGCAGGTTTGGTTCGTGAGTATTGGTTTACTTGCAACGCGTTGATCAAAAGCGGTCCTTTCCATGGGGTGACCAGTAGGAAACACACCCAAGAAAGATGACTTTCACTTGGGAAAAGTGAGCCATGGTCAAAACTGGGGGCCCTAATGGAGTGTTGATCAACCACCAACTGCCAACGAAAGAACAGATGATCCCATGGCTTCCTAAATTTGCTCTGGATCATATGCCAAAACATGGAATACTGATCATCCCCCATGGCATTTTACCTGTGCCAGTTTGTTTTGGCTCCAACGGCTGAGTCCCCTAGTCCGAAACGAGGTCTTGCCAATGAAAATCAGAACTTGATCCACCACCAAGTGCCAACGAAGAAACCTGATCCACCCCCCAAGTGCCAACAGACTTCCCTGGCATTGTGGGGGGCTCCCGACCCGACGCCGACCCGACCGAGCGAAAACGCGCGCGTCAATCGGTGGGAGGCCTCGGAGCGCTGGCCTGCGCCCCGGTGCCGCTGATGCCCTCGCGGTTCAGCTTCAGGCGCCGGCCGGGCGCGAAAAATGGTTCGGGTTCCGAAGCAATGGGAAGGGTGTCTGTCTTCCAGGGACCTTCCTCCCCCAAATATATATATATATATAGAGTATATACATATGTATGGTTGTCCTCTTGGTTTCCTCTCGAGCACCAAACAAGAAGGGGAAACCAACTCAGTCCTGCAAAGGGCTGTCGCATGAAAGGAGCGAATTGGTAGAAGACATGGAGGGAGCGCCGCGCCCTGGAGTCTTCGGCTTGAGCAGGTGGTTTTCATTGTCTTCAAGGATTTCTCCCTGAGTTTTCCCTTGGCGTTGCTTTTTTTTGGGCGGGGGGGTGCGGGGGTGGGGGCATGCTTCCCCAGCCGATGGATATCCTGCAGGTTGGGCCAACCTCTGCAGGGTTTCCCCATTTTTTGGGTGCAGGAACCCACCAGCCTTTTATTGTCTTTTAGGGTTCCCCTTTGTTCGTGTAGGAACCCACTGGCTTTGTTTTTTGTTTTTCCCTCTTTCTCTTTCGCCTCGGTTTCTTCGGTGAGGCGGGAGATGTTCAGCTTCTGGGCCACCGAGAGCATGGTGTCGGCGCCCGCGGGCGGGGAGGAGGACTACTTCGGGAAGATCGAGCAGCGGCCCGCCTTCATGGGAGGCTCGAGAGCGGCTCGCTCGGCTCCAGGGCTCGTAGGGCTCGAGGGGAAGATTTTGCGGGGAAAGAGTTTGGAGGTTGTTCTGAAAAAGTAGGCGGACCTGCCCGGAAAAGCTGGTGTTCCTGAACATTTCCCTCAAACACCCGCCAAAAGGACACCCATTTGAGTGCTCCTTTGGCCTGTCAATTATTCGACCAAGTAGAAACTTCAACGCTTGCAAATGCGGGTTTTTCCGTCTTTGCCACATGTCTGCCCCTACCGCAATCCTGTTTGAGTGGTCAACATCCATGGAAAAAAAACATAGGGACTCCTTGCCCTGCACTTTTGGGCTGGGCCATTCAAGGGCAAGCCTTTGGTTTGACTTTGGTCCAGGCGTGTGCATTTGTGAGTGGACCGCTTCTTTTTGGGCTTGGTTCCAAGGGAAACTGAAAGGAAGACTGCCATTTTAAAGGTCCAACTCCTATTTTGACACATGTTTAGTCAAGGTTCCAAACTTGGTGGCTCCCAGCCATCCGGTTCCTTAGCTTTTTAGACTTTTAGTGCTTAGTGGGGGTTTCCATTTGACCCACTAAAAGTTAAACTTTTAGCAGGGGATTTGAGGGCAGCCCAGAAAAGGTGAACCTTTGACTCCTATGTAGGGGCAGGTGCGCGGTTTATGTTTTTCATTTTCTCGCAAAGATGCCATGTTTTCGGCACCGCTCGGAGAAGCTGCAAATCTGGGTACTCCCTCCTCTGATTATATGGGGCAGAGATCCAAAAACACATGTGAGAGGAGGGCACCGGCCCAAGGGAGAATTTGGCTATCCGGGCTGGTTCTTGACTTTCTCTTGGCAGTTGAGTGCAACACCTCGTTTGGCGCACGCACTAAGCAAGGCCACCAACCAGCAGACCATTTACTTAAGCGACCTTGAACCCGATTCCTCCCCCATCAGCTACCAAACATATGGGCGCGACGCTTAGTTCGGGGTGCCTTTTTTTGATTATCGCCTTATTTTGGAAGGAACCACAAAAGGAGCAGCACCAATCTGGGCGGTTTCACTAAAACGAGTCCCACCCAAGATGTTCTATCCGCAGCTTGAGGCTGTAACCCTGACGCAACTTCAAGGTCCATGACTTGAATGATGGGGTGAAAACTGCGGGCAGTTCGGTAGTTTCAACCCCGAAGTGTTTTTTTCTCAAACTACGGACCCAGGTGGTTGCTTTCCTCTTGCCCTTCAATCTCAAAATGGGTTCCCTACGTTGAAAGACCCCCTGTTCACCCGTGCACACCAACCCATTTTGGTTTCGACGTGTTGACTTACCAGTAAAAGACTCGTGCCAACGTTTGCCCAACAGGTGGTTGGTTCCAGAAACCCACAGAAAAGCTACGAGCCATTTTCTGGGTCCCCTAGTTTCAGACACACCCGGACAGGTTTGACAGACCGCAAACCCAGAGGAGATCAGCCAACTTCTACTCCCATTTTGAGAACGCCCCGTCATGTATATATATATATATGTATATATATATATATATATGTGTATATATATATACATACACGTATAGAATCACCCCTATGTATGTTTGTATACATTTTATAGACTCTTTGGTTGTGCTTTTCTAGAAAAGAAGCGAAGAGGATCCCAACCAGGGGGTCCTTTTTTTTTCCAAAACATGTACATATACAAACACAAACAAACACACATATGTGTTCATACATGTATATTTACACAGACAGTTTTTATATATAGATATATACACGTAAATCCATATAAACATACAACACCCGCCAGGGCACTCCTCGCTGTACCTGGCCGGCGTGCCCGGCCTCGTGGGCACCAGCTCGCAGGTTTGGCCCTGCTTTCCCTGGCAGTACTGCAGCGCGGCGGCGTCCGACGTCGGAAAGCGGCGGTGACAACGCGCAAGCGGTTTGGATGTCGCCCCGGTTTTGGGTAGGTCTCCTTTTTGGAAGACCCCCCAAGAAAAAGGAGGAGGAGGAGGAAGAAGAAGAAGAAGGAGGTGGGTTTCAACTTGTGGTTCTCCTTTGAAACGAAAAAATAGGCTAGGGGAATTCATGCTTTTACAGTGCATCTGAGTGTGCTCCCTGAGAAGCCCCCCTTAGGCACCGATGGTGGTTGACATCTCTCCTAAAAACATGGGTATGCCTTTTTGGAAGACCCCAAAGCGGAGTTCTGTTTTCCTTTTGGTTTTCCTTTTCAACCACACCAACATCAAGTGCCTCAAAAAAGGCACATCCGGTTTTGGGAGGGACATCGACAAATTCCGCAAGGGGCGGCCAACAGGCAAAGTGACGCGCAAGCGCGTTCAATAGACATCCGAGCTGGAACTACGGTTGGAAGCAAGTTGCCCGAGGTTGAAAAGAAAAGCCATTTGTTAGGCCATTGTGGGTTTGATTCCTTTGAAGGTTGGTCGAAGCCTTACAATGACCAAACCACAAGACGATTGTCTTTCCAGCGGCCAATTTCCAATTTATGTATGTCTATCGCATGTGCATGTGTGTTTCTTTCATATCAAATGACACTGGTTGGAATCCAAGGGAATCCCTAAGCTTGGCCATGAAGCCGGAAGCCATGTTTGTTGGGTGCCGGGGAGCAGGAAAATAGGAAAGAGGGCAACACTCAAAGTCTCAAAAGCCCGTTTGACCCATCAGGAAGGACTCAAATCCAGCTGGTGGCTTAAGTCTACCTTGGGGCAAACACATATCGGAATGGCCGGAACCTTATCTCACTGATTGGGTTTATGGACTTTGGCACTGTTTGGAAAGACCAGCGGAAAAGAACAAAAAGTAAAACACCATGAACCAAAAAGCTAAAAGACTTACCAACTAAAACGGACTCTACTCCTTGGTTTGTTTACTGTTAGCGGTACATAGAAGGTTCCGTTTTTTTTTGGCCCAGTCCACTCGCTCGGGCATGTGTGTTTAAATAGGCAGAATGAAGGCTAAGCGACAGGAACCGTCAGGTAACTTCAAGGTCTTCGACTGCACTGGCCAGCTCATGTACCAAGGTGCCGCCGGATGGGTGAGCGGGAGAGCGGGAGAGCGGGATGGGTGTGTCCTTCGGCTCGGAACCCTTCAGGTTGATTCAAAACGAAGCCATAAGGAAAAGCCGCCATTTGAAGGTGTGTCGTTTTTAAGGCCCTCTTAAGCAACAAAATCAGGTACCCTCAAAAAATGAAGGGCAGTCTTTTGCTTGATGTCATGTGGGTATGAAGCTGGGAATCACTCCAACATGCTTGGTTTTGTATTGGTTGCCCCATGACCGAGCCATGAAGATGGCCCTTTGTTTTTGGTTTTTTGGGGGGAGCCTTGGGTGGACATCATTGAGGCAGATATGTTTTACGTTCACCAAGCATTTTCTGGGGTGCTCCACGTGCATATTTTGGGCCTGGCTCACGTGGGGTGCTTCCTGTGGGAATATTTGCTTAAATTTGGATGGATGGTTCCGTCTGGTTCCCAGGTAAAAAGGCAGAGCCCCGCACACCCCAGGAAAGGGTCCGAAAAGGAATCACAGATGAAGTCTCTCCCTCTTAGTTTTGGATGATGCTCTTCCTCGACGGTATCATTTCATGAGAATTGCGCCTGTCTCTAAAGGTAGAGATGCAACTATCGCAGCTCGCATCACGGGAATGCAATATTCTCATAATCTTAACATGAAGCGAGACTCGACACAAATACTCATTTTTGAAGCAAACCAACTCCATTGGTGTGTGTGTGTGTGTGCTAAACTTTATATGTGGGCAGCCCACTCCTTCATGTCTTTGACATAACATTTTCCACACGCCTTGTAAACCAAAGGATAGTGGAATACGGCTGCTGTAACAGCCGCAACAGTGGTACAGCTTCGCCTGGTCAAAAGGACAAGCCTGGGCAAACCTTGCTTGAAGACGCAGACTCTGGCCTCAGGGCAACCAAAAGAAGTTTGTTCGAACAATAAGTGTTTAAATCCTGGCTCAATGAAGGGGTTCAATTGCTCAACAGTTTTGTGGGAGGCTCACACTGTGAAGCTTTCTTTTTTTCGGCGAGCGCTCGCCAGCGAGGGGATGTCATCGATGTGGACAGCACCTCGCAGCCAGGCAAGAAGGCAGGCGCTAGACAGTGCCGTTGGCGTGTTGCTCATTGTTTTGTATCTTCATTTCTATTGTTTTATTTTGATTTGTTGTATGATTATTATTATTATGTTATGTTAGTACCTCCCACCAATTAACTTGGAACCTGTTGTTTGGGGTGTTCTGGTTTGGCCCGTTTTCCCTTTTAAGGAGACCGGGTCCCGAACGGCAGGTTCCAAGTTAACGGGTGGCTCAGAACGTCAAGGTCTTGGCTTGGGGAGTGGCGAAGGAAATCTCTTCTTTGAAAGTGGACAACACAGTATATGGGGGTTGATCAAAAGGTCATTTACACGGGATGACTTTTCTATGGGGGAAACCCATAAAACAAATGAGATTTCCCACTAAATCGGAATAGTTACACATGGTCAGGAATATTGATCAACCTCCATATGGTACTGTTGACCACCGTAGGGATCATAAATGTCCCCTTTGGTTCGTTGAGTTGAAACCAAGACGCAACCAAATTGGTCTCAGTTGGGCCCCAGTCATGTGCCATCTAATTTCCAGAAGGATGCCTCGAGTGCCAGCTTTGTTTTGTGCTTTTGGCTGGTGCCATGCACATATCCATGCAGAATTTGTGGGGACCCACAAAATGGTGGGTTATCCTTTTGGTTTCCCTCTAAAATCATCCCCAAAAGGGTACCACCAAAAAACGGCAAATCCATATCCATGAGAAGGAGCCATTGCCGTGGGATTCTCATCTTCTATTGGGTTGCCTCTGGGGGCCATTGCCACGAAGCAGTTGGAAACTCGAATCCGCCGGCCCCAACACGCTAGCAGCCATCCGCAACGAACGGGCAGACGCTTCGGATGGAAAGACCGAACACTGGCTGCTTGCGAGTTTCGGGACCCAACAGACCGAGTGCTTTTCGAATCTGAGACAGGAGCACTACCCAATGCATGGACTCCTTGGGGTGGTTTTTGCCTTGGGCAAGTCCAAAAAAAGCGATGAACTCAGCCAACCATGGATTCAAAAACACGGGTTACTAGAAGTTCATATTTGGGTCGTCACAAATTCCTTTGCTTCATCCGTGGCGGTCGCGCAGTGGGTATGGTCAAGCGGTGAGGGGCAGACAGCACCGTCACCTCCAAATCCTTATGCTTCCCACGGTAAGCCTCGCCCCATCTGAAGGAGACCTATTCATACTCCAAGTTGGTCCCCAAGTTATGTTGTATCAACAAGGGGCTGTCCAATTTGTAAGCAAAACACCGAAAGATAGGAGAATCAAACCATGCCCCAACACCGTAGTTGTCCTGTTGGTTTTCCTCGAACTACCAGCCACACCGGAAGAATCCCCCAAACATGCGACACAACAAAAATCGCTCCCGGCTTTTTCGTCGAGTGGTTTTTGCCGGCTTCGTGTGGTTGGCTAAAAACGTCGTTTTTCTTCCCCCCAACAGCTGAAAGCTTTGGGGTCTCAGCCCAGATAGGCTCCGGGGGGGCGGCCCTGAGGGAAGGTTCCACGCGGGTTCCACGAGAGTTCCACCAGGGTTCCACCAGGGTTCCAAGAGGGTTCCACGAGGTTCTGCGAGGGCTGCGGGGTGGTGCGAGCACTAACAAGAGCACCGCATGCTGTTGGGGATATCACCTGAGCTTATTTTTTTTCCGCAGGCTCAGGTCTACAAGCTGCTGCATGGTGATCTCAGCGTGCTGGGCAAGACCTCCGCGCTGCCCTCACTGCTGCCGCGCATGGGCGGCATCAACGCACCTCGGCAAGCGCTCGCGCTCAAGCGGTGGGCGGCCGGCTGGCTGCGGCGGTCACTGGCTTCTTTTTGGGTGGGGGGGGGGGGCGGGGGGGGCCGGGTGGGGTGGGGCGGGTGGGGTGGGGCGGGTGGGGTGGGGCGGGGGGGTGGGGGGGGGGGGCGGGTGAGTGGGTGGGGTGGGGTGGGGGGGGTCTTTGCTTTGTTCGAGCTTCTTGAATTGTTTGATTCGCTGTTTCTTTGTTGCTCGTCTCTTTCGGGTTCTGTGGTAAACCGACAAGCGGGTTTTTATTTGGACCTGTGCGGCAATTCCTTTTGGGAGTTCGTTTCAAGGGAACCGTGGGAGTTGGATTCCCGCCCGCAGGCCATACAAGCCAGAATGGCGTGCCTGCCGAGCTTTCGGCTCGGCCGCGCCTGAAAAAGCCAAACGCCTTTCGGGCTCCAACTCGTTCAGCAACTCTTGTTTGCATTTGATCATGAATCTGCATTTGGTCTTTGACACTTCTCCGGGATGCAGCTGGGGCGCCCAAAAGGTTGCACCTTGCGCCCAGATTTCGTTCTGGCAGCTCCCTTTGCGAGCATTTTCAGCTTGCGCCCAACGGCGGAAGGGGGGTGCGATCTCAACGGGCAATTCCAGTTTGTTTGGTTTTCTTGACTGCTATTGGGTTGGATCTTTAGACTTGAGTTTTTGGGGGAATCAAGGGGTTTTCCACTAAACCCACAAGAAGTTGAGAACTTTTGCAGATGGGGTCGTTGCAGCAGCCAAGTTTTGGTCAAAAGGGTCTGCCCCTGGATCGAGTAAAGGCGTGTACCAGCGGCACATCCGGCTCTAAAGGCCGTTTCTCACGCTAGGGCCAAGCGCCATCGCTGTATTCGCCACAAGGGTGTCTGCGCTTTTGAGTGCCAAGGTTCCTACATGGCCATGAGTTTGAATAGGGAACCACCTGAAAAGTGATTGATGGACATGCATCCCCAGCTAAATGATGTCCGCCACAGGGCCCTCATTAATTTTCACACCTACATTGTGGTGTTCCAATTTCGAAGAATCCGCAGCAAGGGGTCTTCAAACGGGTGATTTGGATGTAAAGCGAGCAGACATGTCCCCGGCCTGTTGTTTGTACCACCACGCCTTCCGCCCAAGAACCTCGAGTTTCCGGGGCAGCTTTGAGGGTGAAGCTCCGGAAGAGCATGGGTTCGCATCCCCGCCAATCCAAACCACTAGCATCCAGGCCCTAAGCTGCGCCCCAAATGGTGGCCAAGTTGTTTTTTGCGCCGCCCCAAGGCGCCCTCGGAGAGCTTGCTGAGGGTGCACGATACCGGGGATGTGACGGTGATGGAGCTGGGGTGTCCGGGGTCTTGAGCATCACCTTCTCATGCCGAACAAACGAGAGTGATTCTTTTTTGAGCAGGAAGGGGTTTGGCGGAAATCCCATCCAAACGGGCGGATTTCGAAGTTTCAGCCGACAGCAACGCTTTTCTTTCTGGCGAGTCATTTTAAGACCCGGCAAAGATGTGTTGTGCCACTTTGACGAGGTGGCCAAAGGTGGCGATCATTTCTCGACCCTCCGCATCACAGGAACAGGCAACCCTACCCGAGTACATGTTTATATCTTCTATAAGTTTCTCACCGTGGACAGCTCTAAACGGTAGCCCCTCCAAGGGAAGCACCTGGGGAATCAACCCTTCGAACCGAACCCTGGAAACAACAAATTGGTTTCAAGGTGGAGCATACGAGGCACAAGTTTCGGAACCTTACAGCCCTTTTGGGAGCACCGCTTCCAGGAAGCCATCTTTTCCTGGGGCATTTGTTCCAGACTACTACTACTACTACTACTGCTGCTGCTGCTGCTGCTGCTGCTGCTACTGCTACTGCTACTGCTACTGCTACTGCTACTGCTACTGCTACTGCTCCTGCTCCTGCTCCTGCTCCTGCTACTGCTACCTCGACTACTACTACTACTACTACTACTACTACTACTACCACTACTACTACTACTACTACTACTACTACTACTACTACTACTACTACTACTACTACTACTACTACTACTACTACTAGTACTACCACTGCTGCTGCTGCTGCTGCTGTTGCTGCGACTACGACTACGAGTACGACTACGACTACCACTACCACTACGACTACGACTACGACCACGACTACGACTACCACAACTACTACTAACTAACTAACTAACTAATTAACTATCTAGCTAGCCAGCTAGCTAGCTAACTGACTGACTGACTGACTGCTGGCTGGCTGGCTGGCTGACTGACTGACTGACTGACTGACTGACTGACTGACTGACTGACTGACTGATTGACAAACCTGCTAACTACCTGACTCACTAACTAACTAGCCAACCAACCAACCAACCAACCATCCAACCAACCAACCAACCAACCAACCTACCTACCTACCTACCTACCTAACTAACTAACTAACTAACTAACTAACTAACTAACTAACTAACTGCTGCTGCTGCAGCTGCTGCTGCTGCTACCTCGACTGCTACTACTACTACCCCTCCTCCTCCTACTAGTACTACTACTTCTTCTTCTTCTTCTACTACTACTACTACTACTACTACGATACCACTACTACTGCAGCCCCAGCGAGAACACCTATGTTGAAACCAACGGCCCATTTGACCAGTTTGGTTTGGAGGACCTCTCCAAGGACGCCAACCAGCTGGTGGTCACCCACTGGCACGGCGTGGTCACCGCTCCAGGGATGGAGGGCTACAAGGGCGCCGCCTCCTCCGTGCCGCTGGCGGACCCACGGCTCATCGCCTTCCTCATCAGCAACCAGTTCCGAAACAAAGGCCGAGCTGTCCGTACTCAAAAAAAGCGTTCTGGATTCCACCGGTAGAAGTAAAGGGTTAGCACCAGATTGATTTATTGGGTGTATTGGTGGAATTCACCTATTTTCAACCGACCAAACTGACCTACGAGCACAAGGGTGCTGCAGGTTGTCAAACCTTGATCAGTTCGATTTGTTGGTGGTAAGGAAGCCCGTCCGGAGCAAAAGGGGTATTGAGAGGGAGCTAGGGGCGAGGGAGCTGATGAATCCTGTCAGGAGTGGCTCCCGAAAAAATACCGTTTGTCAGGGTCTGGTTGCTTGAGCAAGTTCCGCCTAGAGCAAGTTCCGCCTAATCTTGGACCTCAAGCCTCTTTGTTTTCAAGGTTTGACAACCTGGAGAGACACCCTTGTGCTCGTAGGTCAGGTTGCACCAATAAATCAAATAAATAAAGTGGAATCCAGAACGGTCTCTTTTTGAAAAAGGACTCGGCCCAATGATTCGGCATCTTTCAACATGGCTTGGTTTGGCTTTCAACTACTCGGGCCCCTATTTTCCAAACTCGAGGTGCAGAGGCTATAACCCACACCCTCGTGCCTAAGACGCCGTGTTTCCAAAATGGTTTCCCTACCCCAAATCACTACTTTCAACATGGAGTATATGTATCGTGTCTATAGAGTCTGGTAGTATCGTCCATTTGGGTTATCGTGTCTATAGTGGCTGGCGTTTTTTTTGGGTGCCTTGTTAAAGTTGTTTTTTGGTCTAAAGGGAAGGGAACAAGGACACAAACCCCAAATTCAAGGTCCGAACCCCTATTACGCAGGACTGCAACTCCTGAGCTCATGGACTTGATTCTCACTTTTGTGGCCATTCTAGTGGCAAACCCGGTGGGCGACGATTTTTGGCCGCTCTACTCAGGAAGTGAGATTCATTTTTTCCATTTTTGCCGTTTAGGGCTCGCGTCGATAG